ATATATTTTAAAATGATAAGGCAAAATCCAATGTGAAAGGTTATGTGAAGATTACGATAGTACCTACAGTATTCAGCATTTCGTATAATCCTATAACCAGATAATAATATTAAAATAAATTTTATCTGAATGAAGTTTTCTTATTACAGAAACAGTTAAATTATGCAATTACATAAACAAATGCACTTTCAGACTATATAAATACTGGTTACAAGCGCAAGCCAAAGTTCTGTTTATGTTGCTTCTCACCCTTCAGCGCATGCTCAAGAATTACCATACAGGCAAAACTAGTCGATTTTTACACGACATCAAAAATTCTAAAAGTGGGGTAGGATTTGGAAATACGCAGCCCGGAAATTGCGACGCTGACATGCTAATAAATCGATAAACCCTAAGAGAACTAATGAGATACTATTATTTTTTTACTATTAAATACAACATCCATTTCTATGACGCATTTTAAAAACATAATTTATACCAAATTTTTTTTAGAACCATGAAAACTGCCATGCAGACAGATCGTTCGCCTCTTCCTGAAATCTATAAGCAGCTGTTGATCTTGAACAAAGCTCAGATCGCATAAATTTACGAGCGTTCGAGAAAAAAACTCAATCAAGATGTTGCGGTTTTAACTTTTGGATTTAATAGTTAAAAATACTTTGCTTACCACCTATGCTGCTATGATGTTATATTGGTTACCACCAGTTGAGAACCCTTGCTCTAGCTGAAATAAATGCTTGACAACAGTGAGGCAAGCTGGCAATTGTGTCGTTGATCGCTTGTTGTGGTAATAGCACCCATTCCTGTTGTAATGCAAGTTGGAGTGCGTGGAGGGTACCTGGTAGCTCACTGCAACCTGCTATCCATCGTCTCAACATGCCCTAAGCATGCTCTATGGTAGGGATGGGCAAACGTTTTTGGTCGTCAGCCAAAAATAAAAAAAAAAAAAAAAAAAAAAAAACGTTTTGGGGGCCACGATAAATTTTTCTAAAATTTTAAAAACAACATACAAATATTACAATTTAAACATTTTAATGAGATGAATGAAATTGCAATTTCATTTTTAAAAGTTCCTTATATCGAGGTTCGAAGTGAGATGTACTGATTCTAAGGAACGAGGCTAAATGCCCATCAGTCAGTCTCTACTTATGAAATAATTCTTTCTAAGGTGCATAGTTGAAAACCAATTGTTCACATATACAAGATGAAAATCACCTATATACCTCTGATAGCGTGTCTTTGGCTCTTGCCATATCACTATCCTTTGGAAATCGTTCAGGATGTTAAATCGAGACTTTTCGGTAATGAGTAAGCAGCCCCACTGCTCTGGTGTCCAACTGCGATGTTCGCGGGCCCAATTCAACCGCGCTCTCACATGGAATAGGGACAAAGAAACACAAACCACAGTTGGCCGCACGTACAGTCTACCTTAATGCAGTCAATGTGACACAGTCTGGCCGTCCTACAGCAGCAGCAGATGTTGTGCTCTTCATGATCTACGGTGTCTTGCACATAGCAACAAGAGAGGATCATCTGCCATTGGGGTAAACCTCCGGTGTCCACACCCATGTCTTCTACATGGGTTTTGATCCCTTTGGTAATGATTCCACTGCCTATTGATGATACTACGATGCACGGTCAGCTCTCTCGCAGCAGCGGATTGTCTTGCACCAGCTTCCAACATCCCGACAGTCCTCCAACGCATTTCACCGTGTATATGGTTTCTTCAACTATTGTGTATTACACGGAACTATCCCTACTTGCGAAATGATGCACAAGTCCAGCGTGCCACTTGCGAGGATTGCCTGTTTGCATTTAGCGATGCAACCTCTTATCTCATATGCAAATTATATGTTTTAATTCCCCTTTTTAACATTTGTACTTTTCTTTTAGAGTTTGTTGCTTATTTTTTTAGCATGAGTGTATATTAAATAGGTGTGTGTGTGTGTGTGATTATAGCAAAGCCTCGACGGCTCTCTGCCCAAGGGGAGGAATGCCTTCGTGGAGGACTTTCTAAGGGAAACTGGCTCGTATACACATTACACAAGGGGAAAACCACAAAAACGTCCATGCAGCCAGCCCGTTCGCGGGTTCGAACATCAGACCGAACTACCAGTGTTCAGCGACCATTGGTAGTTCGGTCCTGTTTACCGCTTGGCCGCTGGGAGTGTATGGTTAAATTCCCATGTTTTCTAAAAAAATTTCTCGAAATTCCACATTCAGCACTCCTAAATTTTGCTGTCTGGTGCAGTTACACTGTGTGCACTGTCTGCAAAAGTGCAGAAATTTGGAAGAACTGAGAATCCAAATCAAATTGATTGAGACAATGCACATATCTCAATATTTCCAGCTGCAGGATTTTCAAGCATGCTCACTGCAATGCAAAAGTCAATGAATGTATTTATTTTACTAATCCAAGAAATGTTCATTCAACTTTACCAGAACGGTCTAAAAACCATACATAAAATATCATATATTTTTTATTCTCTGGACCTTTAGTTACCAGATTATTGTATTTTTGTAGCATTTAGTACATTTTACAAAGGAATCATCATATATCAGAGGATTGAAGAATTTACTCTCTCATAATGTAAAATATTTATTCTGCTGACAACAAAGGATTCATGCTAAGGCAAACAATTTGATAAATTATGTTAATTGCTTTTCTTTTTAAAATGCATGTGAATTCAGCCATTTGTAGCAACACATTATCAGTTTAAAAATATGTGTAACAAGCTTTTAAGAATTCCATAAACTGTATGTGTATACATAAAAAGTTTGATTTATTCACAATAGGTGACAAAAAAGAAAGAGGCAAAATCAAAATTTATATTTTATTAATAGTTAGTAGCAACATAATTGTCATTAAGACATTTACAGTCACAAAGCATTTGCAGTCTTAAATTGGGGGTCTGTATTTAAAATAAAACTATTTGCTATGAAAGGTGACACCATAACTGAATGAAAAATGCAAACTGGGATGTCTCTAAAAACAGGAATGCTAACTACAGTACAAAATCCGTAATTCGGACGTCCATTATCCGGAATGATCTATAATCCGGACCTCAAAGCGACAAATTTTACGCATGCGCGCGTTGAAAGAAATATTTAATAAAGTAAACAAATAAATATTAAGCTTTTTTCTTGTCAAATTTGATACCCTTTAGATCATAATTGCTCTTTATTTCATAAATTATGGTTTCATATTTTTAATTGTATAATTTCTGCAAGCCATCTTACCAAATTTATATTGATGATCTATAATCCAGAATCGCTAAAGTCCCGACGAGTCCGGATTACGGACTTTGTACTGTATAAGAAACATATGAGAAATGATTTTTCACAAGATAAATGCACTGAACCTAAAGCTTATAATGCATAAAATTAAGGCACACAAAGATTAAATTGTTAAAAGAGGTGTATCCTCAAAACGCAATGTGAAGAATGCACATCGAAATTATTTTATTCAGAAAAATATGCACTGTAGAAAACCTACTACATGGAACTGTGGTTGCCAATGTATAGATTATGAATTTGTTAATTATAAATGTTATTATAGTTATTATTAGTCCATTATATTCTTCTAATTCCCTCTTTTTCTTTCTTCCCGCCTTTTACTCCCAAGAGCAATACATATGTGGGTCATGATAAGTCTCAATGTATATGGGTCACAATACTAAGTTTGGGAAATAGTGCTCTGGGAGGTAAGCTTACTTTTAATAACCAAATAAAATTATATGCCTGAAACCTGTTTAAAAAATAAATACCCTCCTCTAACACAAATGCGAAATTTTTCATGTATAACTTTTGCTATTGTCAAAAACTTCAAAGAATCTACTGATTATTCATGTGTATAATTTAATGGTTCTGAAAATCTCAAGATTGATGTATAATCCAGATCATTATTTTACTATACTACATTCAAACACGAAACTAATGTCAAAGTTTGCAATCAATAAAAAATGCTAAAACTCCAGTATTTTTTTAAGGAAAATTGATATTTTCAAATTATGTAAATTGAAAGGAAAAAGGAAATTGATTAAGACTTATGTATTTACTCCATAAAATATAAATGTTATTCTTTTAAAAACTGTTATTAAAAATTATTTATTGTATGATGACTGAATGGATGTTATTGTATGGTGGCTAAAGATTTTTGCTACTGTCAAGTTATTGAAGAAAGAGCCAATGGCTTTTTGGATTTAAGACAGATTTAAATTATAAAACATTGCAAACATTTAAATTACAAAAGTTTATTCATAAAAAGGAAATTAAATCGTTCACTAAAATTTTATGTCTGGAATTACTCATGGAAAAAAAAAAGGTTGAAACTTGCAAAAATTTTGACATATAAAGTATCAAAGTAAATCAATTAAAAAACTGAAAACAGATAATACAAAATATTCCAAGTTTCGGTTGTAAGGAATGAAAACTTTAGCTCCATATAATTTACTTTACATAAACAGAATCTTAACTGAATAATGCACAATGAGCTGTAAAAGAAATCAGTAACAGCTCGTAACCAGACAGAAAATAGATTATAAGTGCAATTATTATACTATGTCAAAAGTAAAAATACATTTTTTGGACAAAATGAAGGTAAAATTAATATTTTAATTTTTTTTCTTTAATAAACAGTGTTCAATTAAACAATATATAGCATGACAAATTAAAATAATCTGCATTTTTTATACCTATAGGATATTAATTCTTTAGTAAATAATAGCACTGATTCCGTAACAATCTGTGTATTCTATTGATAGATGCTGTCAGTAGAACACACAGTTTGGTATAGAAGTAATACTGTTTAATGATCAGTAACAATTTAAATTCCTACTTAAACATTTTAAACTTGTCATCTCAAAGCAAAGCACATTACTAAATAGTTAATTATTAAATGTTAATTTTATGTTGATATATTTATGTTATCCACATAAAAGCAATGAATACTTATACCCACCCATAAGCAAGAAAATGGTGTCTAATTTGATACATTAAAATATGTTTTATAATTTAATTTGCTTTCATGACAGGATCATTTATATGCAAAAACTGTTTAATAGTAATTTACAAATATGATTTAATATTAGTATACTCAAAGTTTTATTAGACAATATAATAAATCTTACAATATTATTATTTTCTCCAAGGCATAGATAGTGTTTATCTAAAATCAGCTATACTTATAACCTCGTACTTTATACATTAATATTTTGTTATAAAAAGTGCAAAAATATTTAAAATAAGTGGCTGAAACTAAATATTTCTTGCAAGCTGCTTTTCAGATTCATTGAAACATTTACAAAAATAAATTGAAATTCAAAAACAGTTTTTAGAGCATTGTTCATATACTGCATAGAAACAATTACAAGAACAATTTTATTATAACAGACACATTACAACCCAAATAATCACATGCGTGTTTAATTTTATTAAAAGTTAAAATGAGTATCAAAATATTTTGAATTTTGGTTTGCTGTTACCAAACTAAAATTCAATATATGTTTCTTGCCCCCTCACAATTCTCATATCCAAATATTCCTCACTCATTGAATAATCATGTATAAAATATTTATCTGACAATTAAAAAAAAAAAAGGGAAAGAAAGGAAAAAAAAAATTTTAAAAATTGTGTTGCTTCTCTAATCATACTTAAAATTTCTGCAATGAATTTGCTATTTAACAAATGACATAAATGCATTAATTTAGCAATTTGTCAGACATCTTTACACAGCACTTATGATAATAGGACAAGAAAATAGCACATGGATACAAATACATTTTCTACCATTTCACAGTATCAGAAATAGTCTCAAACTAATATTTAAGTAATATTTACAAATATGACTATTGTATGAGCACATATTAAAAGGCAGCTAAAGAATTAACTTGAAAATTAAGTAAATTTATTTTAAATCATATGTTTGAAAAATACTTCATTTAACGTAGGCCAAAATAAAAACCATATAATATATTTATATAATACAACTCGAGTATTTTAGCTATATGGAAACATAGGCTTAAAATATTTTATGTAAAAATTAAGAATTGTGATTAAAATATATACTTTGATGTACATTTTATGACCAAAGTAATTAAAATTTTCTTATCAGCTGATTAAAATAGGTATTAGGAAAGGCGGTATAGCTTATAAAAATATATGTGTACATATTGGCAGCTACCTGAATAGAGACAGTTTTCTCGAGCAGAGAGCAGACTTTTATCACCAAGATGCACTTTGAAAAACCAAAATAAAAACTAAATAATATTAAAAATATACAACACAAGCTCTATAAAATTGATTTATGCTTTGTGATATTCCGTTTTATACTCACACATGTATCACTTTATTAATGTGTACTTTTAATTAATGAAAAACAAAACGACTAAAAAATTCAATACATGAATATTAAGCTGTTTCTATATTACTTTTTTTGTAAACAGAGACGCTAGAGTGTCAGCAGATTATAATTACTAAGAGAAAAAAAAATAAAATACACTGGAGTTCAAAGTGACAGCTATACCACAAAGCAAAACCCTTCACATTTAGTCTTGATAACAGATATAAATGCTGAGGTTCTGCAATACTTAGAAGTGTGGAACCTCCTGTGTTCTAATTTTTATGCTGTTCTATGAAAAGAAACCCTCGTATAAAACTTTATTTAATGAAATCTACCTTAACAATATTTTAGTACATACATATAGTTTTTTTTTTTTTTTTTCTAGTCTTACTATACATTTAAACAATTCAATACAAGGAGAAAAAAAAAAGGAAATAAAAGTCTTATGATCATTGATGATGAGAATGTTCTAAAGCAGTGAAACCCGATGAAGAACAATATTACAGACTGTGATACTACTGAGATTATTTTCTCAATAATAAGTCTCCATCTCCACCCATCCTCCTGGATTGCGTCGAATGATCAAACGACGAATTTCATCATAAACAAAAATAAGCAAGGAGAAGGGGATAGCAGGCAACCACCAATTGAACCTATTAGGAAAAAAAACATATATATACAGATATACTTCATGAAGTGTTCACATACGCTCATGTTCAAATTTATCTTTACATACCCTAAAATAATGATATTGCATGAAATATGCAATCAATGTAATACATTTTTTTGCAGGGAATGTGTGAATGACAAACCTCATTATAGCATTATCCAGTCAAAAGTGATCAAATGGTTTCTGATATGCAAAGCAAGGCATTACAGTGTGTTGGAGGCAATAACATTCTGTATTAAATTCATAATCCTTAACTTTTTCCAAGTTATTTTTTTAATGAACCCTCCTTGTGAAATACTATCATTTTAAACGTTTCATGCTACAGTTTTATATCATATGCAGTGCTCTTAAATTTTTCCCTTTGTATTTATGAGTTATGATGTTATATATCATTCCATACAAGTTCATGCTGTTCTTTATGAAGACTGCCACTGATGCAATGTCACCACGGTTATTGACTGTAATGGTGTCAGGACTGAGCCTCCTGGATGAATGAATGAATGCCACAAGGTAGGTAATGCACAGTGAAGAATCTTGCTTCTCTATCACTAGGCATGTGGTATCATGGTCTGAGACACCATCACCATAGATAGTTGGTCATCTTTGCTTTGTACGAGAGGTACAATGATGATATATGCTTGCACCAATCAAGTACTTGTGGAATCACGACCGGATTTAGATTTGACGAGATGCTATTTGAAATATGGGGCCCTTTACGAGGGATATAAGTCAATTTTTTTCATGCAATATAGTACACTGTGCCAAAAAAAGGGGGACAGTTCTATATCTCCCGTTCTACTGGGCCGATTGACGAAATTCAAATTGCGTTTCTCATGTCTTGAAAGCGCGACTTAGGCTACATATGAGATTTATATATAGCATTGTTCTAACATTGTTATTTTGACACAAAATCAAACTTTCTCTGAAATGACATACCATTTTTTTCCATTTTTATATTCTATGACTCAGATGATGCCTAACTATTAAATTTTGTAAAATTTGGTGCGAAATTTACGAAGAAATTCAAAAATTTATCTTCGCACGTTTTTCTCAATTTGAGTCAAGAATAATTTACTCGCCGAACTTCTTAATATATTACAACCTAGTTTCCTTTCCCTTTCATTGTGCAGAAGCAGAAAAAAAGTTACATCGTTCCTACCTTTTTACATTGTGCATGAGTGGGAGAAAAGTCACATCATTCCTACTTTCAAATAATTTTAACAAAGTGCCTAAACCACATTTGGTGTTATTATCGCTTTCAACAAATATACCAAATTTCAAAACGCACCAACAAATTCAGAAATTTTAAATAAAAAGCTGTAAATTTTTGCAGGTATGCTTAGAAATACATCTACTGTAAGATGATGGCAAAAATTTTATAGGTTATAATTCAAAATTGTTTTCCAAAAATTTATAAAAATTATTTAAAACTACAAATTTTCAAAATAAATTTTAAAAAAATGGGCGTGTTTTATTTGGAATCAACCTAAATTTTGAAATGTGAAAGGAAGAATAAAATAAGTTTAATAAAAAAAACAGAGAATAATAAATATATACCAAATTCAATTAACATTGAGGAGCTAAAATTTTGAGAGCTAATTTTTTAAAAACTACTCAAGAGATTTTTCTAAAATTTGGCAACTTGGTATAATTTAAGTTGTAGAATCTAAATATGGAAAAAAAAAAATGGGATGTCATTTCAGAAAAAGTCCGATTTTGTGTCAAAATACCTATATTAGAACAATGATATATATAAATTTAATATATATCCTAAGTTGTGCTTTCGAAACATGAAAAACGCAAGTTGAATTTCATCTATCGGCCCAGTAGAATGGGTGATATAGAACTGCCTCCTTTCTTTTTTGCACAATGTACAATTTTTGGGGGTGGCCCCAAGCTATAGCTTGTGCAGCTTATAAATATGGCACTGTGTGGGATGTGACTGGTAGTTGTTTGCTTGATCTGCCCCAGCCTTAATTTGGATGATGCTTGAAAGTACAGAGATCTCTGGATCTTGCACCAACCAAGCATTTGTGGGACATGATTGGCCGTTGTTTGCTTGATCTGCCCCAGCCTTAATTTGAGGATGAAATGTACAGGATGGTTGAAAGCATTTGGTTATCCATCCCAGGAAATTATCTGCTAGCTAATTTCACCTGTACTTCATAGAGTTGTGTTTTGTATAACTGTAAGAGATGGTTCTACTTGCTACTGATCACCCTGTATGTTTAATAGCAGCATCGCATTATCTTTTTTAAATTAAAATAATTTATTTATACATGCATTCTCTGTCTATATGTTATTACATTCTAATCACTCTTTCATGATGTTGCATTCCTCTGTTAGGCAGTGTATAAAGAGTAGCTAAAATACAGCAATTTTTCTTTAACATTAATAATGTAGCAAAATAACATTGCTACCAAAAAACAAAATTTTCCAGGGAAATTAAATTAGAATTATGTTTATAATATGTTTAATAATAATTATGTTTATAGTATTATAATATGTTTATAATAATAATGTTTTTCCTCCCCAAAACAATATAGCACCTTACATAGAGTGGTAAAGCAGTTTCAATAATTAAATGAAGCCTTTTTATAAAGCCCCCCTAATTACAGTTTCACATATTTTAAAGTCTTGACTGAATCATACCATTTCAGTATTTAAGTTAATTGATTGCAACAGAAATTTGAAATAATTTTACTGTTTGCAAGATCACTCCAGTTCCCAAGTCAAAGTATCTGTTAACTGTAAATATTTTCTTGAAAATTTCCCAGCTGCTGAAACCACTGTTATCCTATTTTTAACTTTTGTTCCTCTTACTTGTACATGGAAGTTGGAAAAAACAATAGAAGAATGAGAAGGAGGGAGAAATTCTGTAGAAAGAATTACCCAGAAAATTATATAGTACAAGAAAATTATACAGAACAAAAAGTTATGAATGCTTAACCTCCCCGTGATAACTCCACTAAAAGGGGGAATATTTCTCAAAACATATATAAACAATGCCACTGAACATCTCTACTCTAAATCAATCACTTCCATAAAAAAACTTCCCTCCAGAGATGAATGTTCATCTTAAAAAAGGTTTCTGTTTTGACTGTTTTTTCAGTTATCTGATAAAAGGTATACATAAAAAGGGGGAATATGCACTAATTTTTCTAAAATTAGATTACGTAAAAATCATATATAATACAAAAATTCCTTTTTGAATACAGTTTATCAAATACAACAAATCATCTCTGTCTTTACGGAACACAATCAAAATTCAAAATCCATTTATTTATTTATTTATAAGCTGAGAAATACTAGCTTCCTCCAGACATTGGCTTCGGTATTCACCACAATAGGTCTTGCTGTTTTCATCAACAAGTTTCTTCTTTTTCATCATTTACTTTTCATTTGTCAGTTATTTCTCAAGTCTCTTTTCTTGATGGAAGGCACAATCATTTATACCATTAATCTGATATTTTTGCTCAAGAACAGAGACAATAAAAGAAGAGATGATAAAGGGACACAGCATGGTTCTAAAGTGCAACTTAAAACCTTGACTTTAAGAGGCTTGAAGCAAATCACATGGTATAAATTTTTAAAAATTGAAATCTTTAAACAAAATTACAAACTACTCCTAACAAATCTCAATTGAAATTTCCCAGTTTTTGTTACGTGTATATATATAAATTTTAAATTAAAACAGAGAACAATAGTTATACACATATATAAATTTCTAACAATGTATACACATCCCAATCAGAACATATGACATTTTAGAATTTAAAGAATAGAATTTCGAAGAGTTTTTATCAGCTTTTTACAAGATTTCAAAAACTTGCGAGATTTTTGAAACATAACCTAATATATGAGAAATAATAAAAATACATTTAACTTTATAAAAATAAAGTAAAGAATTTCACAATTTTAGTTTAAACACTTACTTTAGAGGGAACATTCGTAGACCTTTATCCATTCCTGGGCAATAGGAAAGAAAGGCAGCAAGAGCAGTCTCAAATACAAGACCAAAATTCAATATATGATTTCTAAATTGAAATAGCAGGAATTAAAGCTATTACTTACTACAAAATATAAATTATATATCATTTACACTGCAGACAAACAGATTGCATACTTCATATTTATAGTCATATATCACCTTTTTATTCCTGCTTTGAACTCTTCAATTATTCATTTAGAGTTTTGATTGTATTGCTGCAGGGGCTATACATTTTGTGCATTTGATTATATTGCTGCAGCAACTACACATTTTGTGCAGTGTGATTCACCTATACGTGAAGCATGCATATCACTTTAAAATACTGTGTTTTTGTTTATCACATTTTGTTTATCTTGCTTTTGTACTTTCTTATTCCCCGCATCTGATTTGCAGCAATACATGTGATTTCTTTGTGAAACCTTTCATGATAGCTTCATTTAGACAAGTTTTTCTGAATGTTTTATTAATTTATTAAATGAAAGTGCTAGAGTTCATATACTAAATTAAATACATAAATTACATAAACTACAGTAATTAATTTTTATTTACTCTAGTTGTATTTTTCATGTAATATAGCAATGGCAATTGCAATATTGCTCTTGAACTGAATTTTATGGTTTAAGAGCGAAGAACATGATAGTTAATAAATAATGGTAACACACAAAATGTTAAAAAAAGCGCCCCTTTGGACGTAATTTAAAATCTGAAACCTTTCAGATTTTTTTTCTTATTGATTTTATTTTGATTGCTATATATTTCACCAATACTGAAGAAAGGTTGATATAATATCACTACAAAATACATAAATCTTTTATTTGTTATGTCATAAGGAAATACATGTCACGGTTTTTAAAGGAACATATTCTCCTACAGCACACTTAGTTGCTATAACATTGCAGTGACCTCTCAATGTTGCATTTTCTTCACATTACATTTGTGACTACGGTACAACATCACAGAAATGTCGCATTGTGATATGGATGTGAATGTCATACTGAAGTCACATACACGTCACAGCAAATGTTTAATGTGACAAGAAATTCCCAGTCTTCCCCACCCTGACCTTTCTTGACCTTGCTCGTGCAATTCTTCTTTAATAGGAGATATTCTTGCACGCTGACCTCCCCCCCCCGATTTATTGCTATGTGTTTCAGTTAACCTTTCTAAATAAATGATTCTTTTATGCTAATAGCTTGCAATTTTAGTTATTTCTTTTTTATTAAAAATATTAACAGTTTTTAGCATGTTTTTATTAATTTATTTTTAGCGTGTACTTCGAAATCATTGAACTATATTCTGTGGTGAATGGATTCACATTCTACTGTATCTGGAGACTGATAAAAGAGTTTGTTGTTTGCATTGCATTTGTTTGTCTTTAGGATTTTCACAACCATTTTTTTAGTTCTGTTCACTGAACACATTGTCTGTGCTACATTTTCAGGTAAGCACTGTTTTTATTGTACATTGAAGTGAATGATATCAGTAATAATTAATATGTAATAATAAAAGCATAATTTAAGTGCTATGAACAAAAAGAAATACTGGCAGTAGATTAACTTTTATTTGCATTACAAAGAGTGCGGAAGCAAGGGCCATTATCAAAAGTCATCTTATTTTTCCCTCACTGTTTAGAAATTTTAATTTAGGGAGTCAGGTTTATTTGGTAGATATAATTCACTTTTTGTTGTTTTTAATTTTAAAAGATAATGTGAAAAAAGAATTGATTTTATCCATTTTACTACAGTACATTGTGTTTAACTATTTTACGAAATTATTTGTAAAATAATTACTTATTTCCATGCGTGATACTTAACGGCACATTATAGATGATGCAATACTTCCATAACCACGTTTTAGTAATATAGAACATGTTTTTTAATTATTATAACTTTGCAAATGGTGTATTACTTTAAAACACTGAACTTTTCTACATGTTTCCTATATGTAAATTTCTGAGATTAGTTTTAAAATTTATTATGTCAGATCTTTTCTTTTTGCAAATTATGTCACACTTTTATGTATAACATATTTGTGTTGTTAAAGTAACTTAATTTCCTTATTAAGAGATTTAGTTAGAGAAAAATATTTCCTAGTTTAGGTCAAATTATTTGAATACGGCAAAACATACGAGGGCTCTCTACTTAAGAGAAGGGATGCCTTTGTGGAGGACTTTCTAAGGACACTGCCTTTGTGAAGGACTAAGGAAACTAACTCGTATTCATTTTATATATTAAGAAAAACTTGAAAACCTGTGCAAAAAGTATTTGTTACTAATTTTTAATTTACTTAATTTTTTAAATAGATGCATAAATTATTTAAATGATAACAATCTAAAAAATAAGGAAATTACATTTCATCGTTACTTATATATGAAGGAAGTCAAAACTTCACTTGTGACAAAAGAGATAAATTAATAGTAATTTGTCTCTAAAAGTACAAGTTACTTCATGTTATAAAGAAACCGAATTTCAAATCGTATTTTAAGAAAATTTAACCTATTGCAGACAATTTTATAAATGTACTGAAAATTACTATAAAATGAAATGTATATTTAAAGCTTCACCGATAAAATTTATTTGAAATAATAATTTTATTTTTAATTAATATATTTCACTTCTGCAAACAAGATATTTTATTTTGTTATTATAAACTTAAAAATTACATCTAACCCTCTAATTACATCTAATTTAATTATCTAAACTTATCACATCTAGTTTTGCTTTAATGTATCATTTGCAGAAACAGACATTGAAAAGATATTAATTTCTGCAGCAATCATATTTGAAAAGCTTAGAAAAATTAAGAAAGGAATCTTTCACAAAGGAATTTAAAAATTTCATTGTGATAACTTGGAAATTCACATATTATGAAACACTGATGAATTAAAGTAAAGTCTTTGCCAAACAGGGAAAGAAAAACTGATTTTAAGCTAAAATATAAATTCATGGAATTCTTTTTATTGGGACAGATTTCAGTTCTTTGCCGCATTTAAATAAGCAAATAAATTTGTTTGGAAATTTCATAACAGAAAGACAATTCCTGGAGAGTCAATCGAAGGTTCTGAAATCTCCATATAATTGCGCTGCATTATACCGTGGGACAAACAAATATTTCTTTTAATGTAAGAGGAGGAGTTTTGTATTTTCGTTGTGTTTTAATTTTAACAAAAGTTGTAAAGTTATTCCTACAAAATTTAGTGGAATTACTTTTATTTTCATATATACAGCCAATTTCAATTTGAACTTAAGTAAATAACTGAAATTAAGTTTTAATTGCGTAGTTTCTAAAATGAAAAACATAAACATGTTTTCATATTTCATTTCACATTGTGTTTTTATTCATGGAATTCTTTTTATTGGGACAGATTTCAGTTCTTTGCCGCATTTAAATAAGCAAATAAATTTGTTTGGAAATTTCATAACAGAAAGACAATTCCTGGAGAGTCAATCGAAGGTTCTGAAATCTCCATATAATTGCGCTGCATTATACCGTGGGACAAACAAATATTTCTTTTAATGTAAGAGGAGGAGTTTTGTATTTTCGTTGTGTTTTAATTTTAACAAAAGTTGTAAAGTTATTCCTACAAAATTTAGTGGAATTACTTTTATTTTCATATATACAGCCAATTTCAATTTGAACTTAAGTAAATAACTGAAATTAAGTTTTAATTGCGTAGTTTCTAAAATGAAAAACATAAACATGTTTTCATATTTCATTTCACATTGTGTTTTTATTTTGTTATATTAAAGAAATCAAATAATTTATTTCTCTTCATTTAAAAGTATACTAAGGAAACTGTTTCTTTAATGCCCGTCTAGTGAAAAAACTATAACATCATTGCTAAAACATGTATTGATGACTTTTTGACATTTTAACAGTTTCAAATCATTTCTGATTTCAATAAAGAAATCAAATGAAAACTTTAAAGAAAGTCCAGTTTAAAGAAAAATGAAGTACTTTAAAGAAAGTAAAGCATCAGGGTCTTATCATCAGATTTTAATATCTGAAACTAATCTCATAAACTGCTTCTCCTAAACATTTTTATTGTGTTCCAAATTCTTATACATACAGTATATGCGCCCCATTATTTTCAAATGCCTGATTCACCAAAAAAAAAAAAAAGTATGGCTCTGTGTTGTACAGATTCATTTAGATTAAATTAATAACTTTTTGAAAGTATGCATTGTAAAACATGATATTTTCATATTAGTTAAATTAAATAAAAAACTGAATCGTGTTTATATTACAGGAGAAGGATAGAATGAATGCCTATATCTCATGTTACTTCATATTTACAGCACAACACATTTTCTGAATCCTCATCTTTGTTCTGAAAACTCATATTAAAATAATTCCAAATGCTCTGATTTCACTGTCTGTTTGTAGAACTTTGTGGATAGCAAAAAATCTTCATTGATTTGTCTCGCATGCTTCTATAAAGTTCATGCATCTCTGGTATTTTTCTCGTCGATAATTGCTTCATTTTTAAAAATAATTTTTAAATTTATTTTCAATTATTATATATTAATTATTACTGCTATCATTCAAGTCAGTATACAATAAGTGTTTACTCCCCATATGTGTTGATTAAATAAAGGAGCTTGCATATTTTAATGCATAAACAGCCGAGTTTCATTCAGTTTACCACATGAGCTATGAATAGTATTTAAGCATTGCTGTGAAGGTCATTGTATAGGGTATATTCTCAGAAGTGATAAATACAGATTTACTATGGTAAATCTGTATTTCTCACTTCATTTCATTTCACTAAGCTGTTAAGTCAGCTTTGGTAACAATAATCGTTTTGTCAACTGGACTAATTAATTCATGCAAATTTTTTATGCTTTTGCATAATACTCTATTTGTTAAGAGGACAGAAAAATGCGTCTAGGAAATGCTGAAATGTTTAAAACAAATGATTCACCTTAATCATCAAAATGAAACAAATTATACGATATTTTTACCGTAATACACTTATTTAAATACATTGAAGCTGTGCAGTGTAAGACAGTTATTTTAAATTTATAGCTTAAAAATCTCATAAAATTGTCATTTGTCAATGGAGTAATAATGGTGAAAAAGAATGCTTGTTTTGTATAACTAATATAACTTAAGTATAAATATTTATTTCCTGTAATATAGTTTCCATAACCACATTTCCCAGCTACTGACTTTTGTACCTATGTTCAGTATTATAGATTAACCCGCGGGAAAGCACGTGGAGTGCATCATACTTCAACCCTACGTAAAAGAGGAATATTCCTAACTTGTGAAACTGAAATTCTGTGCTGCTTTCAGTATCTGAGTTTCTAGTTGTGGTTGACTTTCAGAACCACTTTATCTTTGCCTGTGTGTTTCAGAAAAAGATTTATTAGTATTTTGTTGGAACTGGGGTATGACACACCCCACGTGCCTGTCCGTGTAAGTGTTTTTCTGACTGAATATTTAGTTCAGAAATTTATTTCTAGAGTGTAACAGTAAATATTTCTACTCGCAAGTGATTTTAAAGTACTTGACATAAAATTCTTAAAAATTTCTAACTGCATTATGGTAAAAAGAATGAGTCCCTATGAACTGGAGATGCAATGCATGTGAGATTTATTAGAAATATTTGAAAGTGATGAAGATTGCATTTCGGAAACTGAAGGTGAAACTAAGAATATTTTCTACAATGTTTTGGTTTCGAAAAAGATAACATTGATTCCTAGTGTTCCTAAAAAAGGAAAAACTGTTCTTATGCTTTCAACATATATAACGATCATGCTATAGATGATACTATTGAAGAAAATAAAACGTCAGGAATTATATGTTTTAATAATATGACTAAAGAAGCAGTGGATATAGGGGATGAAATGTCAGCCAATTATTCAATTGCCAGAATAACAAGGAGGTGGCTAATGGTAATTTTCTTTCCTTCACTGAATGTTGCTGTAATAAATGCTTGAATTATATTACATTCAACTGCTAATCCCCCAACCAGAAACAGAAGTCTGTTTTTGAAGGACTTACCATTACAATTAATGAAAAAAAGTACTGAACAAAGAATCAGAGATTAATACCTTTCCAAGAAACTGATGTTCTGCATGCAAAACAAAAGCACAAGTTTCGACGAAGAATTAAAACGAATACATGAAATTCGAAACAACTAAGTATGAAAGATGCGATACATTTTTTGCCCTTGCCGCCAAGGACAGAAGAACATGAATGCAATGTTTAAAATGTGAAATCATTTCTGTGCCAAGAACACATGAATGTATTTCATTCAAAGTGTGAAGAAATAAAGTAAGCATTGGTGTATTAGAGATGAAATGAAACTTAGAGGCATGATGATTGTTTTTTATTATTTTCATTTATCTTAATTTTAACTCTAAGATTATTTCGGAAATTAATTTTTTGAAACCCAATTATTATTCACTTATTCATAATACACGAGAACAAAACAAAAACAGTTTTAAAACTAAATAATACTATTTTTATTGTATTTTAAATGTTGGGGTATGTGATACCCCACATGCGCACTCTAGTAACTTTTCTTGGTGTGACTTCCGCCGGGTTAAGCAACAAATGGCTAATTTGTAAACGAAGATTGTAATTAACTAATTTGGGGTCTGTGATTGTATTGATTTATAAAAGCTTTTAATTCAAAACGAAACATTTCATTATATAACAAGATAGTAAAATAGGTAAATGTCCTATAAAATATAGTACTAAAACAGTTTTTCTTTCATCCAGTTATCAAAATAATTTAGCTCTTTTTCTGGAAGGAAAGCAATTAAGGAAAAAAAGAAATGGAGAAAAGAAATCATTATTAAAAGCCAAACTGTTAAAAACAAAGTTTATACAGATATGTAATAAACATAAATGGATTACAGTTACATAACCTTAATAAGGTGAGATACAACCTCAGTAAGATGAGGAAATTTCAAATGATTATATTGGATATTTTCAATTATTTAAAAATTTCGAATATTGCGGAAGTATTTTAATACCTTGAAAAGTATAATACCTTACTGGATCATTAAAACATTGTTGTAGTTATCTATTCTCTAAAATAGGAGTTCATCACTCTAATCATTTAGAAAGTAATCCAGTGTTGCGTGACATCCAGTTACATCTTTAGTGACATTATATTCATAGCATTTTATTATGCTGCCTTCATGTCAGTCTATGACTTTATATTAAGTCGAAATGAGTTGTTACATGAATGTCGCAGTGTGACTTCACAACAATATTAAAGTGTCGCAGTGTGACTTCACAACAATATTACAGTGTAACTTCACATCAAAGTCCCAATGTGACTTCACATCAACGTCGCAAAAAAGCGGACATTAAGCCATTTCTACAACGTTACTGCGACACGTTTGCAATGTTGCAGCGACGTGCCGTATTGTTGGGATTGTTAATACACATTAAATAACAATTAGCAGTTGTATTAATCGTGCTTGACTTTCCAATTTGTATAACATATTTTCTTAAATTGTGATCTAATTTTAAAAGAGTTGAAAAATTATATAGAACTTTTGAAAATTAACATAATGCCATTAAAATTTATGAAACTCCTTTTGGCAGATTGACATATAAAAAGAATTTACTTTGTAGTCAAGAGGTTAATATTCCATATAAAGGTATATTTTCAGAAAATGTATCTTGTCTTTTAGCTAACAAATACTGCTTACCCCCTTCCTGGCTGTGATTAATCATTAGCTTCTCATTATATTTCCAAGACTAATTAAAATGTTACATACTAGTTTTACAGCAATACCCTAAAAAAGAAACCAGCTGTGAAAAATATCTGGTTAATTTAAATGATTTTTGTATATAAACTGGATAACTAAAGTAAATAACTGAAGATGACTTTAATAGAATAATTCTACAAAGTTAGTAGATTTCTTTTTTGAAAGTGATGTTAGGCACTGCCATTTGCATTGGTTGGTAAAGAAGACTGAAAAAAGAAGAAATTCTTAAATGATTTTCTCATACCTCATGCCCTGATGTATAATGGAGTTCCTCCTAGTTTTACAAATAATAAGATCTGCCCATTGTACGACAACAATTGATACGAAGAAGGCAGTATGACAAGTATATTCCAGAGTTTTTCTATGGAAATAAGTCTGGAAAAAATAGAGTAAGATCGTTAGATATGTTAGATTATATTACAAAATATTCAAGGAAATGATTTTTAACACAGTTCATACTTTAAGTACACCATACATTTGAAATAAAATATGATACAGGTGTTATTTTAAGATCAAGTACCATTTAGATGAAAAACTAATGATTAGAAGTATAAAAATAAGCAAAATTATGTAAATAATTCACTCAAAGAGAGAAAAATAAATCTTAATATTAAATATTTGACGAGGGATATTTTGCTTTTCATATTCCATATCTGACTAAATTTAGTTATAGCATACACTGAAATTTACTAATTATTATTGTAGAATATATAGATAAGATAAACAATTTGAAATATCTATAGTGTGGAAATTTTGTGGTTAGCCAATATATTTATTATAGCCTGCATAGTGATCTTCTTTTATTTAATTAATTTTTTATCATTGCTGTTACATCTAAAATCTGGACTCCCAAAGCCATTTAGTGAACTTAAATAATCTTAATAAAAATGTAACTAGAAATCTAATTGAGTAGAACCAGGACTAGAATGGCTGAGTGAAGGAGAATACATAATGTCAATATAATGCAACATAATTGTGTATATAAATTTATTGCTATATAATATGTTTAATAATTAACAGAAGCCTCAGTGTAAGTTCTTTGGGGAGTGTTTGAATTTTCTAAGCTATATTTTACAGAACAGAAAAGATGTATACTTGGCATCCGAAGATAGAAAAAGAGATATTTTCTTTTTTCCTTTATAATTAAAAACTTTAGAACATTAATTCTGTGGTGAGAGTCTAGATATATTGTTTGGCATCTCTGTCCAGTACGGCCGGGTTAAGAATAAAGATTTAAATACACAATTATTGATTACATATTGATTTTGAATTTTTGAACTGAACTTCAGAAACAATTCTGAAGAGAATTTACACAGGTTAGAACAGAGGCACGCAGCTCCCATTTTTGAACTGTTGAGAACATGTCTGAAGAGAATTTTTAAAAAATTATTAATTAAAAAAGACATTAAAAAAGAAGTATGTAGCTCTCATTTTTGAACTATTGAGAACATATTTGAAGAAAATTTAAATAAGTTAAAAAAGAAGCGCACAGCTCTCCGAATGCCAGTAGCAAACTCGCTTAAAGAGTTGGAATTGCAGCTTTTGGAAATTTATCCGAAAGTTAAGGATTTGGAAGAAAATTTTAAAATATAAACGAATAATTTCAAATAGCTTAAAACTGTTGATACAAAATTAGAACCTCTTTTCAAAAATTGAAAAATTTGATGGTGAATTTCACAACAGCTGAAGAATATCGTCAAAAGGTCCTTAAATGCAATATCCATATCTCTAAAAGAATCGACGAATTAAAACACAAATCTACTGAAGTAGTAAATAAATAGTTCAGTACTGAAGGTCAAAAATGACACAAAATATAACGAGTCTGTTCGCATTAAATTACCTAAATTATCGAAATTCTACGGAGATATAAATAACTGGCTAGAATTTTGGAACAATTGCTAAATCGCTATGAAATTTTCTCGGGATAATAGTATTCGAAACAAAAGTGGATTTCAATTCACTGAAGATATAACCCTCAGTTGAAATGAAATAAGATATTTAAGTGCATTTAAAAAATAAACTTTATTTGAAATACTTTAAATAAGGGTTAAATTACTGACATTTGAATAAATTATAATCAATTCGTGACACTAGTTTCATGCAGTATATTCTCCATGAAATTTATACTGCATGACCAATTCTCCATGAAATTTATATGACCAATTCTCCATGAAATTTATATGACCAATTTTCCATGAAATTTATACTGCAAGAAATTTGTTTATACAGTCAAAAGTCATTAATTCGGACACCCATAATCCGGACCTCAAAGCTACAAACTTTCTGCGCATGCATCGCGTCGACGCATGCGCATAGGCGTTTACGCGTGCGCGTAAGACCTTTACGGCTGCGAATATGTGTGTGTGTGCAAGCGCATAATACCTTTACGCATGCGCGTTTAATGTATAACGGACGGTATAAGCTCAGCTACAATTATCTAATTCAGTTAATGCTGCAGATTGCGTTGTTCCTTAATCTTTGAATTGGATCCGGCTTATTATTTTTTGCAGACTGTTAGAGCAATTTTATAAAAGTAAGCTTGAACTTTCGATTATGTCAAATAGAATTTCTGATATATATTTACTAATGCGTAAAGGATCTACAAAGCGAAAGTATGTTTTGAAATCCTAAATCTGTTTATCAATTTCATGCTGCTCTGCGGCAGGGGGGGGGAGAAACGCCGCAGCGCGCAATGAATTGGAAGTTGATCTGTCAGCACTATCCTTATCTTCAGGGCAGATGTTTTTATTTTTTTTGGCTTATAATTCCTTACTAAATGTTGTATTTCATCTCGATGTACTCAGTCTTTGATATGATTTAAATCAAGTTCCTCGTCATTATAATTCGCTTCCGATAGTGAAGAAAGTGACAGAAAGGTTATTGAAAATGAAAACATTTCGATTGACAAATTAGTCGGTATTCTCAACACAGCAATTATAGGACTTGAACAGCGGAAGAACTGGAACAACTTTGTAACTAAACAAGAAATTATGTCTGTTTATAGAATTAAAGAGAAAGTATTATCACATGAAACGAAGCAACTTAAACAACTTACATTGAAAGAAATGTTTAATAAAGTAAACAAATATATATTAAGCTTTATCTTTTTGTAAATTTTGATACCCTTTAGATCATAATTGTTCTTTATTTCATAAATTACGGTTTCATATTTTTAATTTTGTAATTTCTGCATGCCATCTTACCAGATTTAAACTGATGATCTATAATCCGGAATCGCCGAAGTCCCGACGAGTCCCGATTAACGACGTTTGACTGTATTTATACTGCATGAAATTTGTATATATAATACTGCATGAAATTTGTTTCAAAATAATGACAGTCTGCCTCTCCCATGATAACCTATATGTTTAGATATGTATGATAATCAATAAGAATTTTAATTAGCCATCAATGTTCTATATAATGCAAATATGAAATTTCAAACTCAGTAATGCCTTTTATTTAATTAAAAAGTGTTATTAGATATCTATACATTCCATTGTGACCATCTGGTAAAATTTGATCTATACTATTTAATAATGAACATGTACTTTTAGAAAAACTAAAATTACCAAATTCAACAATTATTACATGTTAACTAAGCACAGAATATAAAATATCATATGCGGATCTAATTTACCCATTCTTGGCCAAAACTATCCTGAAGGTCATTAACAGATTTGGAATCCCATCTGCTCCGAAGTCCAAGTAAATGACTAGGCATAAAACCATTTTCTGCCATGATCACAAAATAGACAAAGAATCCAGCAGCAGCCTGCATAAAGCCTATCTGTCCATAAGCCATAGATATCAATCTGCATAACAAATTTAAAAAAAAAAAAAAAAAAAGAATGCATAAAATTACACTATTTTTAATTCATATTATTATGAGTTGTGTAGTCAGCAGCAAAAGGTAATTAAGATAAGAAACCATCATATCAAATAATATCAAAAATAAATAATATCAAAAATTAAGATACACAACTATAATATAAAATAAGAAATTACATTTTGTCATTGCAGTTTCAAGAAGCTGCACTTTTCTTTATGTGATACTTGTGTTTAGGTTGCACTTTTAACTGTAAGATGGCAGGCACACTAAAACCGTATCCCAGTTCTTTTTTTAGCCCACAGGGCATTAGCCCAGAAGGGCTATTAATTTCATTTTGGCATTTTGCATTGGAAAAAGTCTGAATCACTTTTCAAATTGTGCCATCAAATGTTATCACCCTGTATTATATTTAAAGAGATTAAATAAGGAAGAATCTGCGTAAATATTTCTCGCATTGTGGTAAAACAATGGTACCTAAAGCCATCAGATTTTGAATAACGTACGTCTCCACCTGATTATGGGCCCCTGGAAGCCCAAATTTGAAATTTGTTTTATTATCTATTTCATATTTTGTAAAGCATTTGAGTTTCAAAGAGAGCAGTGGCAACACTGTACAAAAGAAAAAAAAAAAAACGTTTTTATCTCCAGTGTTGCAAATCTGTGTATTGGAAATTCTAAAGATATGCTCTTCTTAAATTATTTTATGATACTGCTGTTGAATTGAATTTTATGGTTTAAATGCGAAGAACATGATACTTAATAAATGAATGTAACACACAAAACGTTAAAAAAAGGCCTCTTTGGGTGTAATATAAAATCTGAAACCTTTTTTTTAAACTTTTAAATGCCATATGTGAATGGTGAAATAGTTGGTAAAAAAAGTAAATAAAAAATAAAGAATTGTGAAATGTGTCTGTTAAACATTTTTCTAGCATTCATGATTTAGAAGTTAAAAAAGGATTTTGGTGTCGGACGTCTTATATATTAGGTTGAAACATAAGTAATAGCTGTTTTTTTAATTTAAAAATTTTTATTTTTACACACACATGCATAAAAAAAAGAGGGGAAAAAAACAAAAAACAATAAATTAGTCAATAATATCCGAGTTTTTGGATTTTCCTCATATATCTAAGATGTTAAACTATAATCATTTGGCTACAACCCATTTGTTTGGTTAATTCTCGAGTGGTTTGACGCGTGCAGAAGTTGATTCAAACGTTCTTCATCAAACTCATTTATCATCCGAAATGAGCAGCATCTTCGAGGCCGAAATTTCCATTTTTGAATTTGGCAAACCAATTTCTTGCAGTTCGTTCAGGCATTGCACCTTCTCCATACACTTCACAAATCTCTCAGGCAGCTTCTGCAGCATAGGCGCCTCGATTAAACACAAAAAGAAGGTGGGTGTCAGAAATGCTTATTTTGTCAACTTGACACTCCATTAATGATCTGAAACATAACAAAAATGAGCTCAGATAAAAAAATCAAATATGCCATCTTGTAGAGGGAAAGATTCTCTTTTGAATAACACAAAACATTATGCCAATACATTTTATTTTTACCGTGTAATTTTAAACCCAACATAAGCGGCCATTACTTATGTTTCAACCCAAAATACGTGAATATTTATGATTGAACTTTTCTTTCAGTCATCTTGCAGTTGAATACAAAACCTGAACTTCAGTATTATGTAAATTTCTTAACAGCATCCACACACCATTATATATATTGTAGTAATTATAAACAATGATTTAGTTTGAAATCTTAGTTTTTCGGTAATTCAAGAATTCATACATTTCCTAAATGATAATTTATTTTATAGAATTCCAAGCTGATTTGAAATAAGATACGTATATAAAAGATATGCAATGAAATGACAGCAAATATCTGATGAACTTTAAAGAAAAACTTCAGATAAGAATAAATTAGAAGAAACATATATTTAAAGAAAGAACTGACTTTGCTTTCCACAGCATGAAATGTCAATAATACTTAACTTTTGCGAATATACTTTTACTTTTAAATTTATACTTCATTTATACAAATGGGATAAAAAGATGAAACCCTGATATCCAGTTTTTGATAATTTACCATAATGGCAATTAATCTACAGAAATATAATAAGGGAGTTAGTTACTATATAGCCTAACATCACTGGACGTTTCTTAGATTAAAGTGGATTCACTCAACTGCTAATAACTGCTGTAAAAGTAAAACCATGATGCATTAGCAGTACGAAAGTATTCTGCCATCAATAGAATGATATAATATAAATGCCATAAGTATAATGATATTTGACAGAGAGAGGATGACAAAATTCACAAGTCCAATTATTCAGCTAGAAAGATTCCTGTGCAAAGACATATGCACCAATCTCTTATACGAAATACTATTATGAGTCAAAATACCATGGCAGCAAAAATCCAACTTCTTGCTTCTTAAAATGAAATATTCTAATTTGGAAACATATTTTTTTTTTCATTTGATAAAGATATTTTTAAAAGGATGGGAAGTAAAAACATGGAGAATAATTTTACGACAAATAAATAATTCATTTATACAAATATGTCCTTCACTGTTAGATATTAAAACTAATTTTTTATCATTTAACTTTTTAAATAGCTATCCATAATGTATGCAAGCTTTTTAACACAAATAATCAATAAAAATTTACTATGACTAATAAACAATTTTCATGTAAATTAAATTTTCCATCTATGACCATGACGGCTGTATTTTTTATGAAGTGCTTGGATAAAAATCATACTTCATAGTTTTTCATTTGTTTGTTTCCTTTAATTTTTATGATACATTTATCACTCATTTATCTATGAATAAATTTAAAAAAAACCTTCAATTGTTTTCGCTCAGTGCAAAACATCCCGACATTCAACTTAAGTTTAATGACAAAAACTTGAATAGAACTTATGATATTATCTACTTGGGTATTCACTTAGACCTAAAATTAACTTGGACGAAATGTGTTGATTCAGCTGTTGATAAAGGATATGACAGATCAAGACTATTGGAACACCATTTGGTTACTTGGAATTGGTGTCACTTGGGACTTAACCCAAGATGTCTTGTGTACAGCCTATAAAAGTTACGTTCGTCCTGTTGTTGAATATGGAAACAAGGCGTTGGTAACCACCTCAGAATCTGTTAAAAACAAGCTTGACTTATTTCAAAACAACATGTTGCAAGTGGATCAACGGTTACACTTAATCAACCCCCATAGTTGCTTTAGAACTTCAGACTGAACTCGAACCGTTAAGTGAAATATGCCAAAGAGGAGCCATAAACCTCATTGAAAAAAATCTCACAAAGAAAAAAATAACTTTCTTAAGTATTACAGACCAGCAAACGAAAGATTAAAAACCCACAATTCCTTCCTTTCTACTGTCCACTTTACGATACCTATGATATTCCTACACACAATCGTCTGGTTTTTCCTCAGGAATTAAATCCTGTTCTAGATCAAACCATGTTGGAAGGCCACCTGGGTCTTGTTTGGAATGTCAATAAACAGCCCTCTTTACAAAAAATGCTGCTTTGGCTACTATATGTAGTTGGTACCCTCCTGATGGTTGGCTCCGAGTGTACACTAATGGTTCAGCAGAAGGTGCTATAAAAATGCTGGTGCTGGAGCATATTCAAGTACTTCCAGTATTAGCTATCCTTATTGGGAAATACTGTGACAATTTGGATGGAGAGAGAGTGGTAATATCATTTGCAATTGATAAATTGAAAGACAGTCCTGATCCCAATATTGTGTTTCTCATTGATTCTCAACCTGCTATATTGTCGCTTGTGAATTCAAAATACAATGAAAATGCACATATCCATACTTTTACAGCAAGGCTTTTTTGAACTTTGGAATTCTAGAGACAACATTGCCCTTCAATGGATTCTGAGCCATTGTGACATTTTTGGTAATAAGCAGGCTGATAAGACTTGCTAAAGCTGGTTCTCTATTGACTCAGCCTGATTCTCATCTGCCTTTGTGTAACATTAAAAGGATTGTAAAGAATAAAATTAAGAATAATAGAAAGTCCTTATACAGAGATGCAGCTGTAGGTAAGAGGTGGAACATCCTGCATAACAAAAAGAATAAATTTCCCAATTCTTTGCCTCAATCTTTTAGAGTTGCTTGTTTTTGAATGCTAACTGAACATGATTATTTACAAAGCCATTGATGTCGTATGGGAATCAAAGATTCAGCTTGTTGCCTTTTATGTTATCAGGATGACATGGACGGTGATCTCAAGAACTGCCCCATTGTTTTAAAGTTTTTTAATGACAACTCTTTTGATGCTAGAGGACTTGGAGGTACCTAGAGGAACATGTAATTTAAAAAATTAAACATTGATTTTAATGTGTTGAATTTAAATTTTAAGGTTTTTGAAGAATTTTTGATATCTTCAATATTCATTAACATCAAAAGTAAGAATAATCTAAAAAGAAAACATTTTGAATATTCCTTAGTAAAGTTAGAGATTCAGTTAAAAATCTTTTTATATCACTTCTTAAAATTATACATTTAATAAAACAATGCAACAGAACGTTTGAGCAAGAATACCGAGCTCAACACTCAGCAACCCATGAAAAGCAACAATGTCAGATACAGAAATATAAGAAATTCCATAATTTCAACAAATTAGGGTGGAATATACTCACTTCCAAAAAAGTTAAGCACGGAGAGGAAAATGCTAATTTCCGGAAGCCAATCAGAATTGAAGAGGATGCAATTCGCTGCAGAGGTAGATGGAGGTATGCAAATATGTTAGGCAACAACCAATTGCGCTTTCATGTCAAGAAATATGCAAAAAAGCAGTCTTATAAGAAGCCAGCTTTATGAAGGATTACAAAAGTTGATCGTAAGTGCTGATAGAAGGTGTTTAAAACTTTCGTACAATTTATTTTCAAGACATATGTGTTTCTAAGACTTCCAGAAGATGAATGGAAGATTCTGAGCGCTGGCGT